ATTAAATTTCAGATCGATACCTCGTTTTTTGGCCAAGTTATAGCGAAAAAACTGTTCAAAAATGATGACGTCAAATTTTCAAACTCAATTTTTGGCAATTCTAGAACTTGTAGAGCAAAACGAAGACCACCATTAGACTCCCCGTGACGAGCTGCATCGAATCGATACCCATTTTATGCAAAAATATCAACTTTGAAATTTGACCTAATTTGACCTGACCTTGACCTGACCTTCACAAAAACGTGACCTAGGCTGGCCCGAAAGGCTGCCTAACCCACATAATCGCATTTGTCATGTAAAATGGACCATAAAACATGTATCACACGACACATTCATATTGTGACCCCCGGTGACCTGACCTCGCTGTGACCTGACCTGGTATCAGTGACCTCAGATAGCAAAGTATGTGTTTGACGAACAATGTACCATCGATGGTTTTCAATAAATTACCAATTTACTCGCTTTCACAGCACATTTCTTGAATTGCCTGTGAACGGTGAAAATCTGACCTTTGACCCGACCTGTGACGTCATCGGTTTGACCTAGGTCAATGAAATTTGGTCACAAGGTAGTTCCCGGGTGGGGCTATCGAACGCCGTTTGAATTTTGAAAATCAGCCGGTAACTTTCCGAGATCTTAGGGGGGGCCGAAACGGCCCCCCCCCCCCCCTACGGGTGGTAGGGTCCGCCGGTAGCCCTACGGGGCGCGGGTTAAGTGTCTGTCTGTACCTAACCTACCACCCGGTAACTTGACAACTATTCAGCTTGCCCTTTAATGAGGATTCCTTTTTGTTTCTACAGCGTTATTGACCGCAATTTCCTTCACTCAATGAAGGAAACCATATCAGAGACAAGACTGTGAGTCCTGGTGACAGCATTTTGTTGAATACGAGGCGCGGGACAGCGAGCACTAAAAAAGTATAGGCAATACTAAGACAATACTAGCACGGTGCAGGAGAATGCGTATACAAACGACCAACGCTTGACCTTATCTGCTTGGGGTCGGCATAGTTCGTCAAAGGCGTACTAGCTGGGGGCCAGGGTGACCGTGCCTCAGCCTCGGTTCAAACAGGCTGGGGGCCAGCAATGTCTGTTTCTGCCCCTCCCCCTTCCACTTTCAGTGCAGTGGCGGTCGCAGAGGGGGATCAGGGCCATGCCCTTCCCCCCTCCAAAGGCTAATCAGGGGGCCATCATCTCATTTGGCCCCCCCCAAACAACCAATGGGCCCCCATGGGCGTATGGGGCTCTGGCCCTTATTCGATTGTCACGAGACTCAAGAATCCCACGCTAGCTATTAACAGCTCCCAAACCAGTCTTTGAGGGTCCTACACTGATCTCGGAGGGCCCTTCAGTGGCGGTCAAGCGCCCACATTGACCGCTGAGAACCCACATTGACCTCATTTGAGGGCCCCTAAACCGGCCTCAAGGGCCCAGCCGGCGTCTGAGGGCCTCACACCGGCCTCTGGTGGCCTCATTTCTGTCTCTGGGGTCCCAAGACTAGCCTTTAGGTGCCTTTGAGGGCCCCGCACTGAATTCTGAAGAACCGATGCCGGCCTCTAAGGGTCCGCATCGGCCTCTGAGGGTCCACCTTGGCCTGAGGGGTCCAACGCCGGCCCATGCCGGTCTTTTAGGGCCCCACACTGACCTCTAAGGGCCCATGCTGACCTGTAAGGACCCACATTAGCCTATGAGGCCTTGCACGGGATTCTGAAGACCTGATGCCGGCCTCTGAGGCCCATCTTGGTTTTTGAGGGCCTTCTGCTGGTCTCTGGGTTCCAACACCGGCCCATGCCGGTATTTTAGGGTCCCACATTGACCTCTAAGGGCCCGCACTGGATTCCGGAGATCCGATGCCGGTCTCCAAGGGTCCGCATCGGCCTCTGAGGGCCCACCTTGGCCTATGAGGGCCCTCCGCTGGTCTCTAGGTTCCAAGTCCCGCCCATGCCGGTCTGTTACGGCCCCACACTGACCTCTAAGGGCCCATGCTGGCCTGTAAGGACACGCATTAGTCTCTGAGGGCCTTGCACTGGATTCTGAAGACCCGATGCTGGCCTCTGAGGCCCATCTTGGTTTTTGAGGGTCTTCTGCTGGCCTCTGGGGTCCAACACCGGCCCATGCCGGCATTTTAGGGTCCCACACTGACCTCTGAGGGCCCATACTGGCCTGTAAGGACCCACATTAGCCTCTGATGGCCCAAGTCGGCATCTTAAGGTCTCATCCTGCCCTTTGCAGGCCCTGTACTGGTCTCTGAGGGTCTTAACCCTCGCCGGCCGGGGGGGGGGGGAGGGCGGGTGCCGCCCCTCCATAGGTTTTTTTTTCGCGATAGCTCCGAACACGCCGGCGATAGAGAGCTGAAGCTTGGCATACCTGACCTTTGAATCAAACGGGATCTTTTGACACCAACCGCATTTTCGGGTCAGATCAGGTCACTGACCCATGTGGTCATAAGTGAACCTCTGCACGGTCTTCAGATGTCGCAACTTCGCAACGCCCTCACTGCCAGAGGAGATTTCACAGGGAAATGAACCTTGGAGGACCTAGTATCCAATAGGAGTCTCTCAACTTGTATAATGTATATCTCGGATTTTTCCTAAAGTTCATATGAGGTCAGGTCATTTTCGTGACCTCACCATTAGGTATAAGTCAATGGGAATAAACTAAAAACTTTTTCTGGCGCCGGGAACGATCGATCTCCAACTATCTCAAGCACACCGAATCGTGATTTCATGCACTCCTTGCAAGGTTCGATGCGTCACTTTTGCAATGTTGACCTTGCGCGACGTCATTTATGAAGTTATAAGGGTCTTATTAGTCTTTCGTCAATAACTAGGTACCGATCAAATTGAGCTAGCGAGTCGGGAAAGCCACCTATGGACTCAAGAAGACCTGCCGAATCGAATGATATGCGACATGACCTCCTTCGACCAATTTCGTGACCTGGGGACGCCGACCTGACCGTGACCCGAGGTCAACACCCTAAGTTTACCTCACCCAAACAAAAAGTATATCAGTCGACGCGCCTGAGAGAGGCGAACACGATGCTGGCAAAATCGCGGCTCTGCGGCCATTTTTTGCGAAGTTATTCACCAAAAACGGAACCGTGCCTTGAGGCACTTGACCTGACCTCAGAGGTCACCGGTTTTTGTTTGTTTTGTTGGGTTAGGCCCTTTCGGTCCAATGAGACCATTTCAGAGCCGGAAGGATGATAGGATATAGGGGGAGACATTGGTCTGGGCAGGCACCCTAGTGAGTCGCCAGGGCTGAGCCCGTCCAGAGGACAGGCCACCCAGCCCCAAGGCACTCACTGCACCCGGCTACGGGGTGCGCTCCCTCGGGAGCAGCAGTGCCGCTCCAAGGGAGCAGCCCGCATGAGATAAAGTTGCCTGTCCAGCCCGGAGGGGGTTGCGGTGTGGAGGAGAAGGATTTCAGTATCCTGAGGATAGAAGCACGGAACGGTGTCAGAGGTCACCGGTTGACATAGGACCATAAAATCGGGTATCGATCTCTGCGTCTCGTAACGGCGCACACGCTCGTTTTACCGCGACGCGCTAGCTCCACCTGGGGCGAAACGGCGAGGGGGGTCGTACCCGCCCCCCGACCCCTCGGCCAGCGCGTATGTAGAAAACCTATAGGACCGGGCCGTGGAGGGTTAAACTGGTCTCTGAAGGCCCAGACCGTCTAAAAGTCCCACACCGGCCTCTGATAAGTGATAGTCAATCAGCCCAGTTGCAGTGGTCGCTGATATAAAACCTCTTAAAAACGTTATAGGCCTGGCTGAGCCTAGCTGGGCCGTTCATGCTGATTTTATAGGTATATTGAAAAGACTCGCTTTGCACGTTTCACGCTTGCTCGTAATGAAAAAGTTGCTGGATGCCTCTGGAATTTGCATGGGTGCCAACGGCTGCGGAGGACAGGGGAACGCGTCCATCAGTTTGAGTTTATGGACGGGAGACTCCCTGAAATTTCAACCAATTTTTTCTTTTTGTCTCGATTTTTTTTTTTAACCTCTGAGCATGTTTGCGAAAACAAAGTGGCCGAAATCCGAGGAGAAATCGGATTTTGGGGGTAGGTTAGGTTTTGGACCTCTGGAACCCTGGCCCCCCCACTTTCGAAAACGTTCCTACGCCTATGCATCTTACGACAGTGCTGAAAACCGTTAAGTGCAAGCTAGCCAAAATAACCAATCATATAATATTCCTGATTCGGTGCCGGGACAACGGGATCGTGCCAAAAGGTATGAAGCTTCGCTGCGTCTTATCATCAACTAAGGCAAGTAATATTTTGAAGACTGCTGAACACGCGCTTGTCAGGGATCAAATCAATAGTCTGAAACGGAGGAAGGCAGCTGAACTGAAAACGAAGAGTAGGGTTATTCTCTCGCTGCAGAACACCATGTCAGAGGCCGACTTCAACTCGGTGCAGCAGGCTACCGACAAGGCTGAAAGCGGTGTTTTTGAAGCAATAAAGAGGACCCAACGCAAGAAGTTTGCCGCACTCCTATCAGACAAGGAGAGATCCAGCGTACGTAAGAACACGGTCATCACAAAGTCGGTTGAAAACCTGAGCGGTCATGAGCTGACCCCAAACGAGCTCAGTGTTCTGGAGAAAGGGCTAAGCTTCGCTCCTACGCCTGACAGACTTCCAGTGAAAGAAATTATATGCGCTGTGGAAGCCAGCCTCTCAAAGGTCGCGGAAAGAGATGCGAATGTCGTAAGGTCGAGAGTCAGCAATATGCTCACCAGATCCAGAAGTCAGCCCACGAATGATAATCTGACCGCAGCTGAAAGAAAGGCTCTGAGAGACCTAGGAAAACGCGCTGATATCAAAATTCTCCCCGCTGACAAGGGTAACACGACAGTCGTGCTATCAGCCGAGGACTACCGCGATAAGATGTCACAACTTCTTGACGACCCAGCCTATGTTAGAGTTGACAGAGATCCTACAGCCAAGCGAGAGAGACAAATGCGGAGTGTAGTAGACGACATCTGTCGGAGAGGTCAAATGTCAGAAGAGCTAGCTAAGAAACTGAAGCCCAGCCATTCATCAGCGCCTCGGATGTACGGTCTTCCAAAGATCCACAAGGAGGGAGTACCTCTGCGCCCGATCACTTCCATGATTGGCTCCCCCGCTTACGGCATAGCCGCCTACTTGACCAAGATCATCAGTCCTGCTCTAGGGAAGACCGAGTACACGGTGCCCAATTCGAGCTCATTTGTTGATGAGCTAAAGCAGCTGGATTTGAATGGATCTGAAGAAATGATGAGCTTTGATGTCGTGTCACTCTTCACCAGAGTTCCGGTGCAGGAGGCGGTTGACGTCATTTGCGACAAGCTGGCTGAAGATGACACCCTGTTTGAAAGGAGTGAGATCGGCGTGGATTCCATACGGAAGCTCATGTTGGCCTGCTTGGAATGTCGCTACTTCCTATGCCTAGGTGCATTCTACGAGCAGAAGGAGGGCGCTCCGATGGGGCTCAGCCTATCTGTCGTCTTGGCGAATGCCTATATGGAACATTTGGAGCAGTCCATCCTGACATCCGCCACTCTGAAGCCCACACTCTGGAGACGCTATGTTGACGACACTTTCATCCTGTGGCCCCACGGCGATGAAGCTCTGCAAGAGTTCCACCAGCGGTTGAACGATTTCTGCCCAAGTATCCAGTTTACACTGGAGCGGGAGGTGGACCAGAAACTGCCGTTTTTGGACGTTCTTGTCCAGAGGTCAGAAGGTCGGCTGGGCACCTCAGTCTACCGGAAGGCGACCGCATCAAACGTGTACCTGAAGTACAACTCGAGCCACCCCGCGGCCATGAAAGCTGGTCTAATAAGATGCATGGAAGCCAGAGCAAGACGGGTCTGCAGCGACATGTCAAGTGTGAAGGAGGAGAAGAGCAAGATACGGGATGTGTTCGTAGCCAATGGCTATCCGGAGCCGTTTATCAAGAGGGCTATGAGACGCCGTGACGCCAGCCAGACCGTACAGGGGGAAGCCGCCGCCAGAGACCAAGAAGCCTATGCGGCAGTGCCCTACGTCCCAGGTCTCAGCGAAAGGATAGCCAAGGTTCTCAGGCCACACAGAATCAAGGTAGCTCACAAATCCAAGCGATTGAGGGGTCACCTGGTTAACGTCAAAGATCCCGTGGAGCAGAGCAAGAAGAAAGGGGCCGTATATGAGATAAAGTGCTCGTGCGGCTCCAGCTATATCGGAGAGTCAGGGCGACCAAAACAGGACAGATTGAAGGAGCACACCGCCGATATCAAGCACGGACGCTGCGATACGTCAGCGACGGCCAGACACTTTTGTACCTGTGGCGGTGACTTGAACCCGTTCGAGGCGAGAACCCTAGCCATCGAACCCCACTGGAAAAAAACGTAAAATCAGGGAGGCCATCGAGATCCGACAGCTGCGCCCGTCAATGAATCTCGACAGCGGCGGCGTCCAGCTGAGCCCAATATGGGACATTGTGCTAAATAAATAGTGGTTGGCACGCTGAACGAACACGCGAAGGGGGGGGGGGGGTCACCTTGTGTAAGTGTGACTTACCTGTACCTGAAGTGACGCTCTTTTTATTAAATTAGCGCTGATTGTCTAGATATTTAATTAAAATTCCGTGATAGACAGTGATATTGTATAAGTTCTTAGGAAGGCGGTATCGTATAGGTTATTTTATCTGCACTGGAGGACCCAGCTCCACCGATTGCATGGGAATTGTGTTATTTTGTTGTGCTTAACAAAGCTCGCACTGTGCATCACTCGCATTGAAAAAGGTACCACTACGAGTATCGAAATATTTGCTATCAATTTTTCAATATATATCACTCAAGAAACTCCGAAAATATTATTTCATATTCATTATAACTTGAGGAAAAGGTAACATGACTCTTAAGTCATACGATAATTGGGTCGCTAGTTCTACGACTGATCCACTGAGCAGTTTCGTGTGTATGTTGAACATATTTGCAGCTTGTTTTGCTTGAGCTACTTTTAATGGTGATTACAAATATAAATATCATTTTCGTGTGTGTATGAAGAGGTGGTATTCATTAGAAATTTGCAAGGTAAGTCGTCAGAGCATGCACATATGAGCAGCTGGGACTCAATGCACGCTGTAGAGACCCGAACGCGCTAGACACGCCTAAAAGGTACAGCAACGAACATATTACGACAGGAAGCTCACGCAAGAGATATCCGCAATGCAAACAATGTGACAGGAAAGACCGGACGGCAATATACTACCTAGGCCTCGCCAGTCACCACCCACCAGTATAACCTATCCTTGGCGATAGAGTTTGCAGAGGACGATAATGGTTTCCGTTGGTGGCTAGATCGTCGAATGGGCAGAGTTTGCGCCACATTCGTCGTATTGCAAACGTGAGAAAAACACTACGGGGCTGTTTCGAGAATAGAAGGGCGCTGCTAAAGTGCACACTGACACCTGCTGACGTCCACCTTCGGCCCCTGATCGATCACACAGCAGCGCGAGGGAAGGTGGGCGAAGGGCATCCTCTCAACGGTATTTTCATCATAAGCTACAAATAGCATTTAGCTTAATTGGATATTCAAGAAATCTTTTCAAACGTCTGTAAATGTTCAAAGAAAAAAATTGTAAGATCATAGATGAAATACCAGTTTAATAGAAAACGTAAAATTCCTTTTTTTAGTCAGCTTTGTTTTGCTTTATGAGCTTTTTAACTGCTCTGTTACGTATCACACACGCATTCTGCACCACCGTATTCTGATGTTTAGGCTTACAGGTGACACGAGGAAGGCACTCGGACTCATAGCTCAGAAAATGCACCACGCAAAAACAAATAGCACGCATAAACCGACAAAAGCAACAACTGGCATACCAGTCGCAAGAGTAGCCTCAGAATGATAACCCACATTTTTGCGTACGACGCATGATCAATGACGTAAATAATCTGCGAATATTTTCTATGGCAAGGCAATCACTGCGCAATTACTTTTACGAAATAAATTTGGTTACGTCACCTGAGTTGCATTCCCACTTACTTAAAAATGCAGAAAACTGGTTGCAGAGATCATAGGTAAGCTATTGAGTGACCGACCATGCCAACGGAGGACGTCGACGCTTATTTACCGAATCTGCGTCATTTGACCGTCATCTGATGACGGAATTGGCTTCGCAATGCTCGGATAAGCCGAGAAACTACGACATCGAGCCGTCTATGGGTGGTGGTGCCTGGAATACTGAACTTGGCTTCGAGCGGCAATGCCGTATGCGCAACAGGCGACTCAAGGTCAGCAGTAGGGGAGACAGGCACAGTGAGGCCAGGACGTAGACTGTGCTCATGACGGCCTACTCAGCACAGCATCTTCCCACGGTAGGCGGTGGAACTCGCCTCCTATCCTTTCGCCGCCTAATTGAGCCAGAGCCTCGCAAAGCAAAAAAAAAAAAAAAACGAGCGTGTGCGCCGTTACGAGAGGCTGCGACTGATATGTGCCTGATTGTACGGTCTGAAGAGGTCAACCGTTCACCTCTGAGATTATTGCATTGCAAGTAATCAAAGATGGGGATGAACAGCTTTTGACGCAGAGCATCGCACCCTGATCAGGGGGCCATTTTGCCCCCCCCCCCTGTGGTTTTTCTTCAATAGCGAGAAAACGACGGCGCGCAGCGCCGCCAAATTTTGGGTATCTTTTTGGGCATCAATTTGACAACTTAATACAAAATTTCAAGTCACAGGTCACCTTGGGTCAGGAGCTATTGAGGTCAAACTGAGGTCATGTTCGAGTGAAACTGAGCAAAAAACATGACATTTTGAAACGCTCACCAAATCTACAGTTTACAAGCAATTTTAACGTACCTACTTTAAATGGTTGTTTAGAAAAAAGACGGCGCTACAAAACTGTTATCTCGGATTTTCAGAATGTTGGGTTTTTGACCCCCCCCCCCCCCAAAAAAAATATATTTTTTTTTTAATCAAAAAATTTCCCAAAAATTTTCGAATTTCGTAAAAACCGGAAAATATGTAATAATCCCTACGCTCTTCGATATACATACCAAATTTTAGATTGATACCTCCTTTTTGGCCAAGTTATAGCGAAAAAACTTATTGATTACGTCAAATTTTTTAACTCAATTTTTAGCAATTCTAGACCACGTAGCGCAAAACGAAGACCCCGTGACGAGCTGACGTCATTTTTTGGGTCAGGTCAAAGGTCAAGGCTACCAGAGGTCACCAAAGGTAAAATGTTGACTATTTCAACATTTTGGAAACTGCCAACGGCTATCTCGGGAACCAATAGAGATACAGCGCCGCGGAAAGCGCATTCGATAGCTCCTTTACGGACCTTTCTGAATAATGTTCTCAGATTTGACCTCAGGTCAACGGTTTAGCCTCCAGAGGGCAAAAACTCCAAAAATAGCCTTTTTACGAAAAGCGTTTTTTCGGCAATAACTTTTGACTCAAAAGAGCCATGACATTACTGTTGCCATCATCGTGTTCCTCTCGTCGAGACGCGTCGAATGCACTATAATTTGCCCTTGAAAGGTCAACTTGAAAATTTGACCTCAGGTCAAGGTCATGACCTGACCGGAAAAGGTCATGTTGCATATCAGTCGATCCGCAACGTCGAGCCGAACACAACTATGGCGTTTTCAGCGCTCTAGCACGCCTCTATCAGAAGTTATTAGCGAAAAACTGTTAGATTCATTCTGTTCGTGACCTGAGATGACCTCGGGGACATAACGAGGGGTCACAGTTGCCATTTTCCGGTTCAGTGTGTCAATTTTACCTACATCTCGATGTTTGAGAGTGTCTAGAATAGTGTTCGTGCAAAACAGGCGCTTTTCAATTTTCTCCCCTTGACTTATCCCTCGCATGTGTAGGGGGGGGGGGTCGGATGGACCCCCCCCCATGGTTTTTCGCGAATAACTCGCGTAAAAAGCAGCCGATCGCGACGAAACTTTCAGTACCCTCGCATTGGTCAATTGTACACCTACCCTAAAAATTTCATGACCCTGACCCAAATTACCTTTGACCTGTGACCTCTTTTCCGAGACCATGTTTGGCCGGAATCGCGATTCCGCGTATGTCGGCTCGCATTAGCCGCGCGTTTGCAAGCTTTTCGTATTTTCAAACGTTCAAACATGTGATTTGATGTTGCTCCCATGCATTAGGGTGGGTGTCAATGTCACCTGAAGGTCAGGTCAGGTCATTGACCTTTGGTGACCTCGGGTGACCTCGGCTCACTTTTTCGAGTTTTACATGTTTCTAGGCTAGTTTTTGGAGCTGAATTCGAATTTAGCAACCATTTAAACATTTACGAACAGGGGCGGCGGATTCGGGGGGGGGGGGGCAGGGCGGGCAGCTGCCCCCCCTGGCAAACTCGTGGGGGGGGGGGCAAAAGTATCTTTTTGCCCCCCCCCCCCATAATTTGTGACAAAGCTTAGACAAAAAACCATATACCTGATTATGCTGTTCGATCATCTGAAGATGTAACCAGATGCCCATATACTTTATCATACGTTGCCTTTCTTAAATGGCAAGCGTTCGCGTTTAAAGGGACCCTCCCACCTTAACATTAGTTTTGAGTTGAGATAGCCAAGTTTGCGGCCAGGCTCAGAAACCACCATTTATCCTGGTCGCAACCCCCGCAGCTTTATGGTGTTCAAGAAATTTCTTCCCTTTACTTGCAGGGTGGGACCAGCGTGGTCCCTATCTCTTAACCATTACGGGAATCTGATGACGTCATCAGGCTTTCGAACGTCCGTCATTAAGTTTGACTAAAACGTTTTGTAGCACGCGGTGGTATATGCTACTTGCGCGCAACATCTGCCGCAAACGCTGCACTTCTAAAATAAAGTCGCTAGAAACAGCGGAGATCCCAATAAAGTAAACAAAAGTAAAAGTATAATATCTTGAAAACCGGTGAATATTTTTCGGTGAAAGTTGGTAGATATTCGTTTTCGCTCTTTCTGAACCGAGCGATATCACTTTCATGCCAATTCATAAACTTTTTTGAAGGTGGGAGGGTCCCTTTAATTGAAGTTTTCCTCTCTTCAACCTAGTTTTAGAGGCATTATAAGCGTCAACGTGACGCAGCGGCAACCCAGGCCTTCAGTGATCGCTTACAGGGGCGACGGATACGGGGTGGCAGAGGAGGCATCGTCCCCTAAGAAACTTTTGGAGGAGGGGCAAACGTATATTCTTGCCCCTCCATAATTTGTGCCCTAAACATGAGGAAAATTTCCATAACCTGATATTGCAGCTATGCGCTCCTACAGTTTGTCCAACGGTGCCTTTTGAATATGTGTAAATGCTAACCATTTCCGCTTTATATATATTTTTTTTGTCTTTTCAGATTCGATTTAGAGATATTTTAAGTGTGCAAGAGACGCAACTCATACC